CTGCCTAGTTAACCTAATTAACCTAGTTAAGCTTTTAAATGCCACTTTAAGCTGTATAGAAGTGCCTTAAAAATATCTAGGAGAATATTATTTACTGTCATCATGAGAAAGATAAAATAATTCAGTTATTAGAAATGAAATATTAAAACGATTATGTTTAGAAATGTATTGAAACATTCTTCTCTCCACTAAACAGAAATTCAGGAAACAATAAACAGGGGGGGCTAATGATTCACGGGGGCTAATAATTATGACTTCAACTGTATGCTAATTTGTACAAACACAGGAACTCTACTCAAGTTTTGAATGCATCCATGTTTTATTTCTCTGAATACTCAACAAAATGTCCAGCGGCAAAGTAAAAATCACTTGTTTCATTTCTAAAAAAAAAACAAATAACATTTTGTACAGTAGACATATTACGAACTGTTCAGGATGTCTTCGAAATTGAATTTCACTGGACATCACGGAGAACACGGGACAGATTTTTTAACATCAGAACACCAGAGTCCAGGCACTACAGATCACACAGGAACACTCGTTTTTCAAACAGACTTCAAAACGAACTGATGAAAGGTCGAGTCTGCCCTCAGGCAAAGGCGTCTGCTTGCCTGTCATGGTTGTTTATATTTTGTGGCATAAAGGTAAATCATATATATAAAAAATGAGAGGAACTTCTTGTTGCAATACAGCTTATGAGGAAAATAGAGAGACCAAAATCTTTGGAAAGTTCTCTGGATTTATTTGGTATGGATTTGCTTAAAATGTTAATATTTCTTTATACGAAGGTTGTATAAAATGTAAACAAATTTAGTACAAATTTAAAAGTCACTTTCGGCAACTAATTTAGGTCGATCTGCAAAAATGTGATAGCCATTGGTCTGCACAACACCATTGTTTTCATTGTCCTCAATCTAGCTTGTTTGTTTAATGGCTTACAGTCTTAAAAAGACTAAAGGTATATACAGCACAGAGAATACAACACCGGCCTCCGAGTGAGCTGAGAGAAGATCATGTGAGCTCTACTGGGGCTCCCATTGGCCGTCGCTCAAGAAAGTCGCTCTTCATTTGCATAAAGTTGAAGTATTCTCAACTTTGTCGTTTCAATCGACACGCCCACCTAATCGTCAACGGTCGCTCGCCAAGACAGAGGTCGCCAGAAGATACTAGCTCTCCATTGAAATAAGCGATCGCTTGTTGATTTGCCGCTGCGAGTCGCTCATAGTGTGAATGAGGCTTCATAGATGCGTAAAACACTATTTTTTAGAAATGATGACGTCACCGTAGCACACAACCAGAAGGACGACACTGCACGTAACAATTGGTAACAACAACAATGGCAAATTACAGACTGACGCTAGCGCTGCTAAGTTTATTAGCACTATTACAACAAAACCAAGCAATACTTTATCAAATAAATGACTGGCGGAGACACATTAAGTTACACACATCACATATTATTAGATAAATGTGCGTTCGTGGGCTTCATGGCTAGCACGAAGGTCGCTGATTCAAGCCTCGACTGGGTCAGTTTTCATTTCTGTGGAGTTTGCATGTTCTCCCCGTGTTGCCGTTGTTTTTTTCTGGGTGCTCCGGTTTCCCCCTACAAGTCCAAAGACATGTGCTACAGGTGAATTGGGTAAGCTAAATTGGCTGTAGTGTATGTGTGTGAATGAGAGTGTATGGGTGTTTCCCAGTGATGGGATGAAGCTGGAAGGGCATTCCCTGCGTAAAACATATGCTGGATAAGTAGCGGTTCACTCCACTGTGGCGAGACCAGATTAATAAAGGGACTCAACCGAAAAGAACACGATTGAAGGTGCGCTTGTCATCATCTTCTTCTGGTGTTTGTCTCTCTCAGCGCACTTAAGAAAAAGTGTGTGTTAGCTTACAGCGTTACATATAGGTGTGACGTATGTATAAGACCGTTTTAACAATTTGCCATTTCTGTCACTATCACCAATGATCTAGCCTGTGCAAATCCCTGGAGAACTACACATATGCCAATTTAATGAACCACACCTCCCATTCATGCACCTTAAGGCTGATTTATACTTCTGCGTCAAACGCCGGCGTATGCTACGGCGTTGACGCATAGCCCTTCGCCGTGGCCATCGGCGTCACTGACGTGCACCTCTCAAAAAATGCAGCTACACGTTGCAGCAACGCGTAGTACAAGCTCTGTGATTGGTCGGCTTGGTAGCGCTGACGAGTCTGGTGTGGAGTGTGGAGTCCCGTGAAGGAGCTCCGAATGGAAAGTTTTGTTTTGTGTTTACCTCATAGTTTAAGTTCTTGCACGTCCGCCGGTTCCTGCCTCAAAATGAGCGAGTTTGAGCCAATTGTACATCCAGGAAGTGTTCAGGAAAAGCAAAACAACAGCGAAGAAACTCGACACATAAACACATTAACACTTCACTGCCAACTAGCGTTTCAGAAGTGTTAATGCAGACCAACAGAGACAGAAGTATAAATGCACAGCTACGCGTGTTGCATGCGCGGTCGGTGACGCCGGTCACTTGACGCAGAAGTATAAATCAGCCTTTACAAACACCAGTTCCTGATTGCTGCTGACTACACATACACAGCTGGAAGCTCATGATGTACTAATCAGATGGACCATAAAAACTGCAGACACATCATGGCTGAGTCTTTTAAACTTGAAATGAGCATTATGAAGCGTTTCCTTGTCTTGCCGTGTTTTTGACCTTTGCTTTGTTTAACTGTGTATGTTTTTTTGCCGCCTGTCCTGACGATTCTTAAAAAACTGCATTTGGATCATCAACTCTGTTGTTTCCCGACTCATTACAGTTTCCAAGTGGATCAAGGAATTTCTTGAAATGATCCATACGTATACGAACGTGAAACTTTTACAATCCCCAAACAAAAAACAAGTGGAGGTTAGAAAATGACAACTATATCATTGATTGTGATTGAAAATCAGGGTTATGTCATTAAATATTGATTTCTCACCACGTCTGAAGTCTAAAAATTATTTTTAATTATATTGATTTAATACATAAAAATGCTCTAATTGACCTTTTTTTAATTAGAAAGAAATGTTATAAGTAGTTTACAGTTTGAAACAGAAAACTTTTTTTTTATTAAGCAACTATGTATCATAAATCCAGGGAATTTCCGAGTGGTCTCTTAATTATTGCCATTGCTGTATATATAATTTAAAAATTTTAATGAAGCATCACGTTAAGGGCAATCTTGAGTTATCTGCAGTTATTTTTGTAATAATGGCCAACAATGGAAACAGAGCCAAGCCATCAGTTAAAAAGACAATTAAAAGTTCACCAACGACAACAAAAAAATCTAATAAAAACACAAATATAAAAAACAAAGGAAAAGAAATATCAGTAACAATTCATTTTTAGCATTTCTCTTTTTTTATAGAAAAAAATGCCCTGAAAAATGATTAGAGCACTAACTGAACGACTCTACAAATAATAAATAAATACATACTGTATATTAAATTTCTACATAACTAATTAAATTAGATAAGATACTCTTGTTGGCTGGAGTGTTAGTCAAACTGCTGTAGTTCTCTAAAAGATACAAAGCTTCATTATCTAGACACTCGCTAAAACACATATCATTAAAGAAAAGCAGATTTTAATAGTCCTTCTATCCAGAAGTCCTGGAAATGCTTCTGCAGGCGTCAAAATAATCTATTTTGTCCTAAAATAACATCTCCCCTAGTGTTTCTCTCTGTGCATTTTCACACACATACTGACAATTTTGGTCCAGTATAGGAACAAATAACCATTAAACCAAAACTAGCATAACCCAAAAAAACACTGCTATGAAAGATTGAAATATAATGATGCATATCGCATTTAACAGCAGAATCATTCAGATTTGTTCAGTTCGCAAACTGACGAGGCACTAAACTCTCTTCGTAATGGGATTTTTTTTAAAGATACCTTCATGGCATAAAAAAAAATGCAGATCATACAAAAGCTACAAACTATTTTAAACAATGAGCATGTTTCTTTAAAAAGCTTCTACCACAAGCAATATACTACAAGGAAAAAAAAAAAGAAATATGTGGTCCAGTGTTACGTACTTCACATATATATGCGAAAAAGAGAAGCTAATTAGTTTTAAAAAATGTCTCTGAGGGAGTATTATCACCTCATATATTTTGTGCTTCATGAAATCATAGTTAGGCATGAGAAAACACAGCCAGAATGTAAAGTACTGAGGTAAGCAGCAAGGCTATGTATTCTGATGAAATATTGAATACTGTAAGTCTACGCCTTCCGTAATATCGATAATAATAAAACAATTTAATACATAATTAAAGGACTGTAGCTCAAAAAAGGAGATTCCTTTAAAATCCTTTAAAAAAACTGTGTTAAGCTATAAAAAAATAAATTTGTATAAAGTCATACCAACTTGATGTCAAAAAATAATACATTTCTACAGAGGCTTGCAAGGCACAGCATGTCTGCTGTTGAAAAGTAAATGTGAGTAGATATAATATTAGATACAGTTATCTAAATATCAGAAAATTTGCCTGTCAGGTTTTTGAATGGGGTATGCGATATTGGCCATAAAACTTAAAAAAAAAAAATTATAAAGAAAATGTACAAATATTTTGCGTTTGTGTGTTTTTGTGGTGGTTTAGGACTGCTATTGATAAAAAAAAAAAAAAGAGCGATTCAATCAATCGTTAAAAAATGCTGAATCATTTCTAAAATAAAACAAGCGACTACATTTGAAAACTATTTTTGCTATTTTTTTTGAAGTTTGATTTTTTTGTCAAACTACTTAACTAAAACCAGCTGAAACAACCCAATTCTTTTTTATTTTTTGGAGACAACTTAATTGTTTTATGTTTAATCCCCTTAGAGTTGTAAATAAATTGGTACAACATAAAGGAATTGTGTGGAAGCCAGCATTTTCACAGTGTTTGAATGGATTAATGAATTGACTCAAGTGATTCGTTCAAAAAGTAATTAATTCAGTAACAAATCACACATAGTCAAGTGTAGTGCTAAATTTTACTTTATAAAGAAAATACACAAATGTTTAGCATTCGTGTGTTTTCGTGCTGGTTTATGTCTGTCATGGATAAATATTTTTTTTTAAATGCCAGTAAGATGTGACAAGTCCCTGTCTTAAAGAGCAATTCAATGAATCATTCAAAAACGCTTTGTGAAACTACTTAATTTCAGCTGAAACAAAACAATTCTTTAAATTTTTTGTAGACAACTTAATTATTTTAAATTCAATCCACTTAAAAGTTTTCAATTAAGTTGGGACAACATGAAGGAATTGTGTAAAGCTCAGCATTTTTCACAGTGTTTGAATGAATTATAGAATCTGTTCAAATGATTTGTATGAAAACAGATAAATTCTGGAACAAATTCCACAAGTGTAGTGCTTTACTTACTACTTAATAAGTTTTATTTTATAAATAAAATTACCAAATATTTAGCATTTGTGTGTTTTCGTGCTGGTTTAGGACTGTCAAGGATGAATGAAAAAAACGCCAGTAGGATGGGACAAGTCCCTGTCTTAAAGAGCGATTCAATAAGTCGTTCAAAAATGCTGATTCATTTAGAAATAAAGCAAGCGACTACACTCCCATAATATTTTTGCTGCTTTTCTCCCAGTCAAACTACTTAATTAAAATCAGCTGAAACAACACAATTCTTTAGATTTTTTTTGGAGACAAGCTAATTGTTTTACGTTCAATCCACTTAATGGTTGCGACAACATGAAGGCATTGTGTGGAAGCCAGCATTTTTCACACTGTATATTTGAATGGATTATTAAACCGACTCAAATGATTCGCTCAAAAGCAGATTCATTTGGCGATCAAATCACAAAAAAGTGTTCCACTAAATTTTCTTCTCTAGCTTTTGACATCTCAAATATAACTCATTCCATATTAACCTCCTATTAATAACTTCTAACTTCATTCAAATAGGCTTTTCCTCCACACAATTAATGTTTTTGTTTGTTTTTTTGGCGTAATGTCAGCTTACGTATTATTAAAAAACAAAAACCATACTATCATAAATGATAAATATCGCACACCCCTAGATGAGCTTCATAGTTTTCGCCTCAATAGACAATAGCGTATCTGCACAAGCCACGAACGTACTAAACAAAAGCCGAACGCATGAAACAGGAAGGTAAAAATCTGAGGCCCTAAATGAAATGATGTCCACTCAGAGATTCATATGACACGCTTCTCCAATGGTTTACAAAAATACATATAAAACGAACTAAAAATCCTTAATGAAAACTTGCAACTGGAAAACTGAATGTATACAGTATAATACAGGAAAGACAGACAAAATCTATATGACGACTGAACTGCTTGTGTGACCACTGATGTTTTTGTGTTTTCGAATGTGGTGATGAATATAGATTTTTTTTGTCCATGTCAGCAGGATAAGACTGTTTTTCTGGCTCACGCGAGGAGAGATGGATACAGTAAATGGGAGTCTGAGGTGGAGATGAGGAGAACAGCCGCTTCAGGACTCCTGGGGTACCACCTCCATCATCTTCTGGCACATCACCGTGGATGAGACTGCACAGGGGAAAAAGGAATAATATTATGCTACTGTGTAATTTTACTTGTTCAATACTATAACATAGAATAAATTGTTAAGATTTATTTAATAATATAAGGATTGTGCTGTTTTTATTCATCAAAGAATCTAGAAAAGATGCTTTGTGGTTTACAAAAATATATATATTTCAAGGCTTAAAAGCAGTAAATGATCAAATGAAATTGATTTCAGATCATGACACTGAATAACATTCAGTTTTGTGATCAAATGTCTAAAATAAATTACATTTTTTAAAATATTAATAATATATAAAACTGGGAAAATTAAGTATTGAACACGTCATGTTTTTTCCTGGGAATAATTTCTCTAAAGGAGCTGTTGATATGGAATTGAACACGATTTTGGTAAAAACCCAAACAAAATACAAGCATAAAAATAAAACAAAACAAAAAAATCTGAAAAGTTAGTTGTGTAATAACAATGAAATGACAAAAGGAGAAAGAACTGAACTACTGACAGTATTTAATACTTTATATAAAAAGGCTTTTTTGCTGATGGCAGCTTAAAGACGCCTCTTATATGGAGAATGAAGTCACATTAATTGCTCAGGAGTGCTCAACAGAGTGAGAAAATCTTGATGGTTCTGTAAGTCTCATCTGTCAAATCTGATCTTTAATTGCTATTTTCTATTGGATTCAGTTCAGGTGATTGGCTGGGCCATTCTACAGCTTGATTTTCTTTCTCTGAAACTATCTGAGAGTTTCCTTGACTGTGTTTTGGATCATTGTCTTCCTGAAATGTCCACCCTGGTTTCATCTTCATCATCCTGATAATGTAGATGCTGGACTGAAACAGTGAATATTAATTTACAATGACGAAGGGCCGAGGGTTACTGAATAACTACTAAGAGATTTCAGCTGCTGTCTGGGCTTTCACTGCTTTTCTACACCTCCCTTTCTTCATGTGTTGAATACTTTTTCCCTGCGTGATTTCATTTTATTACACATAACTTCATTTGTAAACTAATTAGTTTTGGTTCTTTGCATATATGGATTTATTTGGTTGTTACCAACATCCAGTGAAAATTTAAAGTCAACAATAAAAATGGTGACGCGTTCAATATTTATTTTCCCCACTGCAGAAAGATAGAGAGATAGATAGACAGATAGATAGATGACAGACAGACAGACAGACATACAGACAGACAGACAGACAGACAGACAGACAGACAGACAGACAGACAGACAGACAGACAGACAGACAGACAGACAGACAGACAGACAGATAGATAGATAGATAGATAGATAGATAGATAGATAGATAGATAGATAGATAGATAGATAGATAGAATAGTTATTTTAAATAGACATGCACAATATATTGGTGTTCATATTGATATGAGTCAGCAAATGGTATTTTTATTGTTATCAATATCAGTCTGATAACAATATTAGGCCAATAAAAAAAGGCATAGCTGATTAAGAAAGTTTTCATAGCTGTAAAAGTTTGTACTATTTCTTTAAACTAACTGAAATATGGCATCTAAATAAATGAATTGACAATTAATTAAATAAAAGACAACTTTTCCAAAACCGTCAAATCTCATTTCGATAGAACAAGCACTGTCCTGCATTCCTTCCTTATAAGTCTATAAAAAGATAGATAGATAGATAGATAGATAGATAGATAGATAGATAGACAGACAGACAGACAGACAGACAGACAGACAGACAGACAGACAGACAGACAGATACATAGACAGACAGACAGACAGACAGACAGACAGACAGACAGACAGACAGACAGACAGACAGACAGATAGACAGATAGATAGATAGATAGATAGATAGATAGATAGATAGATAGATAGATAGATAGATAGATAGATAGATAGACAGATAGATAGATTTCTATTTAATATTTTTTAGCTTACTACTAGGGGTGTAACGGATCATGGTTAAACCGTTATTCGTATGGATTACAACACATCATGGTTCGGAGCATACGTAACCCACAGATTCATAGAGTTTTTTTACTTCTAGATTAAATCTAAATTTTAACGATTGCAGAGAGAGATCACCTCTTGCATTATTCAAATTACATGTATGAAAGCATTCCCTGTAAAATATAATGATGATTTGATAATGAAGTTGTGGTAGGTTATTCGGGATGTGGTGGGTTTCTTAGGTTATTAAAGGTGTTTCCTGTTCCTATTTGTTCAGCCTGCATTAAATCATTCAGTGTGGGCTGCACAATGAATCAATAACACCAACGCAACATTAATTATAAATGATGGTGATTTGCATAAGTTTATTAATCCTTCAGATTGCTGCATTTATATCTGTGTTTGAAGAATACAAAAATCAAAAGAGATTTAGTCTTTTGTGTTAGTCATGAAGTTACAAAGTCAAATAACACATAAGTACTGGCATACCAGTTTATAGTTTAGATAAAACCACTGATGTTTATGCTAAAGATTAAGATCATCATCAATTGCATTTAACAATATTCAAAAAACTAAAAATACTCACAGATGATCTGCAGGAGCCATTTCGGCTTCGTCTGCCACCAAACGCCAAAGAAATAGACAGGAACTCCTGTAGCGATGATCCCGAACCCTATAGCACACTCCACAGGGGTCTTCCAGAAGGACACCACGATGAGGAACAGACACGCCAGCACGAACACAATGGGCAGCAGAATATTGACCTGGTGGACAGACAGAGGGCTTTGAAAAATACGATCAAAAGTTTGTTTTACATGTGAAAGACATACTGTAAATGTTTCCACTCAGCGTTGCTCGCTTCTCTGACAATCACTATTCTTCTTCTCTGGCTGCTGGGCCTTTTTATGGTAGGACATCCTGGTCTTTGATGTTTGCCTTGTGTTGTGTTTTCTGCATTTTTATACAATGGGCTGCAGGAATGGAGCTCCAGGAATGGTTCAAAGCTGTTCTTATTATAACTTTCTCCTGGAGTTTTGCTTGCTACTACTCCATCACAAAAAAATAGATCATTGTTTTTGTTTTGGGAAAGCCGGACTGATCTGGTTTTATAGAATGATTAATTTACTGACGAGACATGGCAAAACTATTTTATCATTTTTATTATTATTAATATTACTAATAATCATAATATGAGTATGGCTTTTTATTAAATGCTCACATGCATTCACATTAAAGCATTAGATAATGTAATGTGTAATTGTATAGCGCATTTATTGTGTATGGCCATACACCCAAAGCCATCATGAGGCGCGGGGGTCTCTCCACAACACCACCAGTGTGCAGCATCAACTTGGATGATGCAATGGCAGCCATAGGACAATGGAGTCAGTGCGCTCACAGATGGGTTGCGGCTGGAAGGGCATCCGCTGCATAAAAACTTGTTGGCGGTTCATTCCACTGTGGCGACCCCGGATTAATAAAGGGACTGAGCCGACAAGAAAATCAATGAATTATATTATATTATGTTATATTATATTATATTAAGAAACATTTTGCATTTTGTTTAAATTAATTGTAAATTTGATACATCTATCATTTATAAACATTACGAATTTGACACTTTTGTCAATTTAATACTGTTGTAAATGAGGGCGATGCCAACCCTCTTGTGCACCACCAGAGGGAACCATCGCCAGAATTCTGATTCGACTCACGGACTCAAAATCCCATAAGCCCTGCTACCTGGCACTGATTACGGTCCAGGTGCAACTCATCAGCTCTCGTGTATATATACCACACTCACGCTCCGGTTCGTTGCGAAGTCTTGATTTGCCTGGCTGTCATTTCTGAGCGTTCCATACTCCCTGCTTCGGACTGATCTGTGTTTCTGACCCTGTGCTTGTTATACGATTACGAAAGACATCTGCCTGCCCCTGATCTCCAGCCTGTTATTCTGACCAGTAAGATATCTGCCTGCCTTTGAACTTTTGCCTGTCCCACGTTCTGTCTCCTGGATTGCCCCTTTGTGTTTGTTTGTATGTGTGCTCTTAATAAAGCTTGCAAATGGATTCAATGCCTTCTGACTCTTCACAACAGAAGACTTCGCCACTACAGAATCCAGCAGCTTTAGCACAAGTCTCGACTGAACTTTCCGCTCAAGCCACTCAGTTAGCCACCCATCATCAACAACTCACCCATCTAACTTCCCTCACGGAGGAACTGGTGAGAGCTATGCAGCAACTCCGTCATCCGAATCCTGCAGTTACCCCGCCTGCTACCATGACAGCTTCTCAACCAACGCATGTCTCCAATGCTCCGGCTACCGTAAGTCCCCGATTAGTTTTTTCTGAAAAGTTTGATGGGTCACCTTCTCGCTGCAAAGGCTTCTTATTGCAATGCAAACTATTTGTTAACCAACAACCTGCATTATATCCCACTGATTCTAGTCGGGTGGCTTTTGTATGCAACCTGTTAACGGGGAAAGCGCTGGAATGGGCTACAGCGATATGGAAGGAGGAGGAATGTAACTATCCCACATTTGAAACTTTTCTCAAGCAATTTCGGGAAGTGTTCGAGCACCCAGCAGATGGGAGAAGTCCCGGTGAGCAGTTACTTTCTCTTACACAGGGGCGTAACACAGCTGCAGAATACGCCCTGTCATTTCGCACTCTCGCCGCTCAAACTAACTGGGTTGAGGATACACTGAAGACACTATTCAGACGGGGTCTGAATACCAATCTACAATCTGAATTGGCTTGCCGTGACGAAGGAAAGAAATTGAACGAACTCATTGAACTTACCATCCGTCTTGATCATCTGATTCGCAGCCGTAGAAATCCTCGCACACAGCTCCATGTTTCAAGTGACACGCCCCCTGATGAACCCATGCAACTGGGTTTCACCCGTCTCACCCATGAAGAAAGAATGCATCGATTGCAAAATCATCTATGCCTGTACTGCGGTCAATCAGGGCACAGGAAATCCACCTGCAGCGTACGACCTCAGACACCAGTTCAATCGGTGAGTCCTTCCCATGTTCCTGCACTTTTCAGTGTACTGATTCCTGTGATTATTAAATTTGATAAAAGAATGATTAATACTACGGCTCTTGTCGACTCTGGATCTGCCGGAAACTTTATATCTAAGAAATTTGCTTTATGTCACGAACTATCTCTCAGCTCATATGATTCCTGTCTTGCAGTGGAAGCACTAGACGGTCGTCCTGTGGGTGAAGGACGCATCCGTATGATTACGAATAAGCTACAGTTACAAGTTGGTGTTCTACACATTGAAGAAATGCAATTCTACATTATTGATTCAGTTAATCATCCACTGGTGTTGGGACTGCCCTGGTTAAGGCGACATGATCCTCATATCTCCTGGAGGGACGGACAGATATTGCAGTGGAGTGAGTCATGCATGAAACAGTGCATCCAGCCCATTCACAAAATTCCATTACGAACCACCAATGTGTTACCTGAACTCGTTGATGAACTAATCCCCATTGAGTACCATGACTTACATGAAGCTTTTAGCAAACAAAAAGCTACTCAACTTCCCCCACATCGACCAAGTGATTGTGCTATTGAGTTAATTCCAGGTTCAAGTCCTCCAACGGGTCGAATATTCCCTCTGTCACAACCTGAGCACAAGGCAATGTCTGAATATATCGACGAGGAATTGGCCAAGGGTTTCATCCGACCTTCTACATCTCCTGCTTCAGCTGGATTCTTCTTTGTAAAGAAGAAAGATGGCAGTTTACGTCCCTGTATTGATTACCGAGGGCTCAATGAAATCACCGTAAAATTCCGCTATCCATTGCCCCTCGTACCTCCTGCCCTGGAACAATTAAGAAAGGCTAGATATTATACCAAGCTTGATCTTTGCAGTGCATATAACCTTGTCAGAATCCGTGCTGGTGACGAGTGGAAGACCGCGTTTTCCACCACTAGGGGGCACTATGAGTACACGGTAATGCCCTTCGGCCTGTCAAACTGTCCATCCGTGTTCCAATCTTTTATGAACGATGTCTTTCGGGATATGCTGGATCGCTGGGTCATCATTTACATCGACGACATCCTCATATATTCAAACACGATGAAGGAACATGTTGAACATGTACGTATGGTGTTGCAACGCATGATTCAACATCGTCTGTACGCCAAATTAGAGAAGTGTGAATTTCACCAGACACAGATCGCCTTTTTGGGATACGTCATCAGTGCAGAAGGGATTACCATGGATGATACGAAGGTACAGGCAGTTCAACGATGGCCGTTACCCCAGAATCTCAAGGAGTTGCAGCGATTTCTAGGTTTTGCCAACTTCTATAGACGGTTTATCAGAGGCTTTAGTTCAATAGCCGCACCATTAACAGCCATGACCAAACGAAATTCCCACAAACTATCCTGGTTCTCTGAAGCACGCCAAGCATTTAGCGATCTGAAGACTCAATTCACCACAGCTCCTATTCTCCGTCATCCCAACCCAGACCTACCTTTCATTGTGGAAGTGGATGCATCCAACACAGGAGTCGGTGCTGTGTTATCTCAACGTCAGGGTCAACCATCCAAAATGTATCCATGTGCCTTCTTCTCCCGTAAATTGACCAGCGCAGAACGAAACTATGATGTGGGAAATCGCGAATTACTGGCAATGAAATTAGCCCTGGAAGAATGGAGACACTGGCTGGAGGGGGCTAGTCAGCAATTCACCATATTAACTGACCACAAGAATCTGGAATATCTTCGCTCAGCCAAACGTCTAAATCCCAGACAAGCTCGTTGGGCTTTGTTCTTCACCAGATTCGACTTCATTGTCACCTATAGACCAGGGAGTAAAAATAGTAAGGCAGATGCACTATCCAGGCTATCAGAGGATAAAACCCCAATTAGTGATGAAACCATTATTCCTACGAACTTACTAGTGGCTCCAGTACAGTGGGACATACTTACCGAGATCCAAGAGGCCAACCGAGAAAACAACCCTCCAGTAGACTGTCCGAATCACCTGATTTTTGTACCCAATAACATACGTACCAGATTACTGACCCATATTCATGACACTCCCAGTTCGGGGCATCCAGGCATCACTGCAACTTTGGAGTTAGTCAAAGCCCGTTTCTGGTGGCCGTCCCTCACGAAGGATGTAATTAATTATGTTCAGAAATGTAAAATTTGCCAAAGCACGAAGGCATCTCACCAAACCCCTGCTGGCCTGTTACAACCGCTACCGGTTCCGCAACGGCCCTGGTCCCATATAGCGGTGGACTTCATTACGGATCTCCCTGTTTCCCAGAACAACACAGTCATTCTCACGGTGGTTGATCGTTTCTCCAAGGCTTGTCGCCTAATACCGTTGCCCAAATTGCCCTCTGCCTTTGAAACCGCAGAAGCCCTGTGCAATCATGTATTTCGAATGTTTGGCTTGCCTGATGATATCGTCTCAGACAGGGGATCCCAATTCACTTCCCGGGTATGGTCCGCTCTCTGTAAAAATCTAAATATTAATGTTAGTCTCACCTCAGGGTACCATCCTCAATCCAACGGCCAAACTGAACGTATGAATCAAGAAGTCATTCGATTTCTACGTTCCTACTGTCATCAGCAACAGCACGACTGGAGTCGCTATCTGATGTGGGCAGAATATGCACAAAATTCATTAATAAAGCCAGCCACGGGTATTACGCCATTCAAATGTATTCTTGGCTACCAACCACCCCTGTTTCCATGGTCCGGAGAACCCACTGAGTTACCTGCTGTCACGGATTGGCTGCAGCGGAGTGAGGATGTCTGGAACCAGGCTCACAGACATCTCATGAGGGCAGTCAGGAGGAGAGAGATTCAGGCGAACCGTCACCGACGCCAGGGACCCACGTATCAACCGGGGCAGTGGGTGTGGTTGTCGACACGAGACCTTCGTCTGAGATTGCCCTGCCGCAAACTCAGTCCCAGGTATGTAGGGCCATTCAAAATTGTACGCCAGATTACTCCAGTGTCTTTTCGCTTAGCCTTGCCTAATCATTATCGTATTTCTCCTACTTTCCACATGTCATTACTCAAACCCGCTGGTGGTCCACGAGAGGAGGCGGTTGAGGAGGAATCGGAAACCAGGACCCCTCCACCTGTCATGATCGAGGGCGAGGAAGCTTACCTCGTTCGAGAAGTGCTGGACTCTCGACGTCGGGGTGGCGCCCTCCAATATCTGGTGGACTGGGAAGGGTACGGTCCAGAGGAACGGTCCTGGGTGAATGCTAGAGATATTCTAGACCCAACTCTCACGGAAGAGTTTCATCAAAGGTTCCCAGAGAAACCAGCCCCCCGACAGCGCGGTAGACCCCGGCGTCAGGTGCCTTCTCGCTTCAGGAGCCGCTCGCAGGAGGGGGGTTCTGTTGTAAATGAGGGCGATGCCAACCCTCTTGTGCACCACCAGAGGGAACCATCGCCAGAATTCTGATTCGACTCACGGACTCAAAATCCCATAAGCCCTGCTACCTGGCACTGATTACGGTCCAGGTGCAACTCATCAGCTCTCGTGTATATATACCACACTCACGCTCCGGTTCGTTGTGAAGTCTTGATTTGCCTGGCTGTCATTTCTGAGCGTTCCATACTCCCTGCTTCGGACTGATCTGTGTTTCTGACCCTGTGCTTGTTATACGATTACGAAAGACATCTGCCTGCCCCTGATCTCCAGCCTGTTATTCTGACCAGTAAGATATCTGCCTGCCTTTGAACTTTTGCCTGTCCCACGTTCTGTCTCCTGGATTGCCCCTTTGTGTTTGTTTGTATGTGTGCTCTTAATAAAGCTTGCAAATGGATTCAATGCCTTCTGACTCTTCACAACAAATACATCCTACATTTAGGATAAAATTTTAAACATTTTTTAAAAATACATATTAATACATGTTTATCAAATAAGCACAGTATTAATTTTTTTTCTGTTAAAATATAATATAATATAAAAAAATAATATAATAAATTAAAAATAATAATATAATATAATTCATTAAAGATATTAAATAATATAATATAATATAATTAATTAAAAATAAAATAATACAATATAATATATTAAATTAAAAAATAATAATATAATATAATAAATTAAAGTTAATAAAGTATAAAATAATATAATAAATAAAAAATAATAATATAACATAAAATAATATAATAAAATAATAAGATAATATAATGTAATAAATTTATAATAATATAATATAATAAATTGAAATAATATAGTATAAAATAAAATAATATAATAAATAAAAAGTAATAATATAAAATAAAATAACATAATAAAATAAAAATAAAAAATTATAATATAATATAATGTATTAAATTTGTATTATTATATTATAATATAATAAATTAAAGGGCGACGTAGTGGTGCAGTAGGTAGGGCTGTCGCCTCACAGCAAGAAGGTCACTGGTTCGATCCTTGGTTCAGTTGGTGTTTCTGTGTGGAGTTTGCATGTTCTCTCTGCATTCGCATGGGTTTCCTCCGGGTGCTCCGGTTTCCCCCACAGTACAGGTAAATTGGGTAAGTTAAATTGTCCGTAGTGTATGAATGTGTGTGTGGATGTTTCCCAGAGATGGATTGCGGCTGGAAGGGCATCCACTGCGTAAAAATGTGCTGGATAAGTTGGCGGTTCATTCCGCTGTGGCGACCCCGGATTAATAAAGGGACTAAGCTGACAAGAAAATTAAATGAAACATTAAATAATAAATTTAAAAATAATAATAATACATAATAAATTGAAAATAATATAGTATAATATATATTTTTAAATCATATAATATAATGATATATAATATTTTTAAGCATTTAGTTGAATATTTTATATTTTATATAATTTTTTGTCTATTTAATATATCCTAGTTGAGTAAAAGTTTGGAAACATTTATCTCACCCACCCTAAACAAACAACAGAACAGCAATCAATTATTTTTAGTGAATTCTATGTTTTTCCAATTGTATATATCATCTAAAAATACAATATTTTTATATTAGAATATTTTTTAATACTCTTTCAACCTACTGCATTACAGCTACTCCAGCCATCCCTCCAACAGTTAAAATCATCAGTAAAACATCTAAGTGCTGAGTACCGACAGACAATGCGCTGTCCCTAATGAGCGAAAGATTATGAGCAATAAGCAAATGGCCTCTTTCACTCCAGCGCCTCCAAACCTCTGATGAACATCTCTCTCTGTGTGTCCGGCAGATGAACGCAGGCCACCGAATGCAGAGATGAGACTCACAAAAGAGCCTGTGTGTTACCGTGCCGTTGCCGGATATGTCCGGTTTCAGTCAGAAAAAAAAAGCAGGTCACTTCCCAAAACGAAAGAATGACCTGGTTCACTCGGTGGAAGTGTTTTTGTTTTTACTTGCAGATGTTTAGCCAATCAGAAGCTGTTTTGATTACTGACTCCGCCCACTGGTTTACCTTAATTGGTCGTTCCAGCTCAGGTTTCTTGTAGCGTAGCCACATCATTCCAACAATGGCCATCGCAATGCAGAGCCAGTTGAAGAAGCTGAAGAAGTTGATGACGGAGAAAATGTCATTGGAGAACGCGTACAGGAGAGTCATGATGCACTGAAGGGGGGAGAAAAGAAAAGAAAAAAAATTGTGATTTAATTCTTTTAATAATATGCTAATTAATATGCTAAATCCTGCTAATCATTCAAATATCTGCACTTAATTTTAAAGTTTAAAGTCCATGAAATTTCCTAATGTTTGAGCAACAAACAGAACAGAAAAGACGATTCAAAAGAATGATTCACTCCAAAATAAGAACTGCTTAAACTGATTCACTAAAACAAAAACATAAAAAAGCAGAATCAAAAAGATCAAATTTGTTAAAATACTATGAAAAAATCTAATCGAAAGGAAAGATTTAAGCATCAAACAGAACTGATTAAACAATTCACTTAAAAAATACTCAAAAATGATTCACTTTAAAAAAGGACTGTCTAAACTGATTCACTAAAACAAGAACATTAAAAAAACAGAAGCAACTCGTTTGATATATTTAATTTGTTCAAATACTATGAAAAAAAATAATCGAAGTGAATGATTTGGGCAACAAACAGAACAGATTAAACGATTTGTTCGAAAAAAGAAGAATGATTCACTCCAAAATAAGAACTATTTAAACTGATTAACTAAAACAAAAAACATAAAAATTAAAAAAAACGAAGCAACTCATAAAAAAGATTACATTTGCTCAAATAATATGACAAAAAAATCGAATGATTTGAGCAACAAATAGAAGGAATTAAATGATTCATATAAAAAATGACTGAAATGAATTATTTACTCCAAAATAAGCACCATTTAAACTGATTAATTAAAAAAAGACTCAAAAGAATGATTCATTATTCGATTCAACTATTTAACTAACTATTTAAACTGATTAACTAAAACAAAAAACATAAAAAAAAAACGAAGCAACTCATAAAAAAGATTACATTTGCTCAAATAATATGAAAAAAAATTAAGTGATTAGAGCAACAAATAGAAGGAATTAAATGATTCATATAAAAAATGACTGAAATGAATTATTTACTCCAAAATAAGCACCATTTAAACTGATTAATTAAAAAAAAGACTCAAAAGAATGATTCACTCCAAAAAAAACTGTTTAAACTGATTCACTAAAACAAGAACATTAAAAAACAGAACCAACTCATTAAAAAGATTACATTTGCTCAAATATTATGAAAAAAAACTAATCAAGAATAATGATTTGAGCAACAAACAGAGGCATTTAAACGATTCACTTAAAAAAACGACTCAATCGAATGATTCACTCCAAAATAAAAACTGTTTAAACTGATTCACTACAACACAAACAATAAAAAACAGAACTAATTTATTAAAAAGATAAAATTTGCTCAAACGCTATAAAAAATCTAATCGAAATGAATGATTTGAACAACAAACTAAACTGATTAAACGATTCACTTAAAAAAAGACTCAAAAGAACAATTCACTAAAATAAGAACTGTTTAAACTGATTCACTAAAACAAGAACATAAAAAACAGAACTAATTTAATAAAAAAGATCAAATTTGCTCAAATACTACAAAAAAAAAAACATTAAAAGGAATGAGTTGAGCAACAAACAGAACAGATTAAACGATTTGTTAGAAAAAAAGACTCAAAAGAATGATTCACTTCAAAAAAAAGAACAACTGTTTAAACTGATTCCCTAAAACAAGACTCAAAAGAATGATTCACCCCCAAAAAAAGAACAACTGTTTAAACTGATTCCCTAAAACAAGACTCAAAAGAGTGATTCACTTCAAAATAAGAACTGTTGAAACTGACTCACTAAAACAAAAACATAAAAAAATGATTCACTCATAAACTGGACATGATATTAAGAGTTATGGGCTTGATTTTGGGACACCTACAGTAAATATGAGTGAAGGCAGAGGAGTCAGCAGGTCAGGGTGGATCATGGACAGCAAACTGGGAAGATGACCTTCTCTGGAGCCCACGAAGAACAGCCTGAAGACACACAGATCCAGTTTTGTCCATTACGTCCAGCACTAACCACCATTATAAACAATATGTGCAGTGGAAAAGCCTGCAGGCTGACTTAACAACAACAACACTAACCAGACAGATTAATCAAATAAACAACTTAAAGTAAAGTGATCTGATTAACGCAACCTCTCCCAACACTGGATATTTATAACAAGACTGTGTGTGTGTGCGCGCATTACCTAGATGAAGTAAACAGAGAGCCGTTCACAGAGCCAAAGCAGGACAGGCCAACAAACACGGGGATTATCCAAGCCATTGGACCCAAGTGGTAGTTTCCAAAGTCCTGAAATAAACCCAAAACAGCTTAATTATCATGGTACTTTAATAACTACTAATTAAAGGGAGGCTAGTAAGTAGCTTAATGAATTGGTCACACTTTACAATAAGGATTCATTAGTGAATGGATTTACTAACATGAACTAATAATGAAAAATACTTGAGCTGCATTTATTAATTATAAGAGAGAGGAATATGCGGATTCATGTGTCAAAATTTGATTGAGGACCGCCACACCCCTTTAAGGCAGGACTTCCGCTTTAAGGCCGGCTTATGTCAAAGTCATGAAGGACTTTAAATTCCCGGTCAAATTTGGTCAGATGAAGTCAATACAGACTAAAATGGAAACGTTATGTCTATGGACGACAATTGGGACGAACACCTTATGAGAAAGTTGACGATGGCTCCTGTTTAGAACGACGGAGATCTGGCCAGACATGTTTGTAGAACAGGCACGTGCAAACATAGGGCTCAACCTATGCAGTGCACATGCCCTTTTTAGTCTTGGATAAAAAGTGCCCTTCCATAATGATCTGAAGTGCTACAGCAACCCCACACCCCCACACCCCCCCACCCCCCGCTCTTCGAAATTTTTTGACCTGCACATGCCTCTTGGAAGGTCTCTGCACGGGCCTGTTGTAGAATAAGAACCAGTCTTCAGCCGTCAGGATCAGACAGAGGTCCTGAGGAGTGTGCGGTTCTCCAGAGTCTGTTATGTACCACAAGGTGACTGACCTTTCCTTTTTGTCAAATAAGTAATGACAAATGTGCTCGCTGGGCATGGCAAAGTTTTTTTTCATGTATCGTCTATTCTCATGAAGAACATTTGTTAGTTACATGCTGCTAATCCTTTTTCTAGGAGCCATCGTCAACTTTCTCATTATGTGTTCGTCCCATTTCTGTGCATCACAATTTGGGTCTGTAGATTACAATAAATATTTTTAAATGCTGTTTACTCCACATTTGCTTTTTTTTCGCTTGCATTGAGCCTTAAATTTCCACTGTAGTACCACTTACAACAAACTTTGTTTTTTTTTTCATATCTACAATCAGATTTTCTTTTTACAGAGGTATTTGTCTGATTATACATAGTTTGGCCTGAATATGCACATGATTTACAGATTTATTTATATTGACAATCTGGTTTTTGCTTTTACAGAGGGATTTGTCTGATTATACAGATAATTTACAGTTTTATTCATATCTACAATCTGATTTTTGTTTATACAAATAATTTATCTGAATATACACATCATTTACAGTTTTATTAATATCTACAATCTGATTTTTCTTTTTACAGAGGGATTTGTCTGATTATACAAGTGATTTGCCTGAATATACACATAATTTACAGTTATATTAATATCTACAATCTGATTTTTGTTTATACAAATAATTTATCTGAATATACACATCATTTACAGTTTTATTAACATCTACAATCTGATTTTTGTTTTTACAGAAGGATTTGTCTGATTATACAAATAAATTATCTGTACCTGAATATACAAACAAATTTACAGTTTTATTCATATCTACAATCTGATTTCTTTTTTACAGAGGGATTTGTTTGATTGTAAGAATAAATTGCCTGAAAATACACATAATTTACAGTTATATTAATATCTACAATCTGATTTTTCTTTTTACAGAGACATTTGTCTGTTATACAAATAATTTATCTAAATATACACATAATTTAGAGTTATATTAATATCTACAATCTGATTTCTTTTTTACAGAGGGATTTGTTTGATTGTAAAAATAATTTGCCTGAATATACACATAATTTACAGGATTATTCATATCTACAATCATTTTTTAAAATTTATTTTACAAATAGTTTACTTGAATATAAGCATGGTTTTGATTTTATTCAAATCTAGAATCAGATTTAGCTTTTTACAGAGGGTTTGTCTGATTATACAAATAATTTGAATATACACATAATGTTACGCGATACTTGCTCTGTAATAAAAAAATGAAAAGAATAAACAAAAAATAATAATAGTAATAACAAGTAATAAAAAGTGTTCAAGAAATGCAAGAAATGTATGCAAATTGGCACATTTCAATGATTTTTCCAAGTCTTGATGCAATCAATCACATTTATTAGTATGGTAACTATTTGTTTTACTATATATTTACCTGCAGTGTCTTGCATTTAAAAGCATAGGTAAAAATATGGACAATAATATTTCTATGACACGACACTTACCACAGCAACGGCCTCAGACGAAAGCATTTTCTCTGGACTGAGTGTGGTGAAGTAGGCCAGGTTGGTCAGCACATAGACAACGGTGACGATGGGGAGCGAGATGATGATGGCCCGAGGCAGATTTCTGTAAAATGTTGGCACACACTCCATTATATAATCCAGCTTTTGCAAAAACTTTACCGTGTTATATTATTAATTACACAATTGTTGTGCACTCAGCTTTGTTGTGCACCTATACATTTGTACAACAGTTTTATTTTGGTATTATTGACATTTTAGATTTCATTATTAGCTTTTTTTATTATTATTCTGTCTTTTACATTTTAGATTTAGTAAAAGTGTTAATGTAAAATAAATGTGCCTAAAAAAAACTATTTCAGTTTTCCCAGAACATGACGTCATTTTTTTTCTAAATGGTCTTTAATTATTTTGTGCCAAATAACATTATAGGTCAGTCATGTATAATAAAAACATATAGCTACAAACATAAATTGTATGAACAACCACTATTCAGTTCACTTCACTATTATGTGCCAAGAGAAAAAAAATAATTAAATCACTCACGCAGTCTAATCTTCAAGAAGAGCCCACAGTAACCTCTTCTATCATGTATTCTGTCTGACATGAGATCGCTTTGCTTCTGTCTCTCGCTATCCTGATCCATTCGTGCAGTTTCAGTTTTTCAAGATCTCGTTTGATCAGGCTCTTTATTAGATTTACCCGTGGTTTTAACAAATGAAATTATGCATGACTCTCTCTTTGGCATTTTGAAAACACAAAAATTATTTAGGTAGGCCACTATGCTATTATTAATTTTTGCTGCTCACTGTGCACGAAACAATCACCAACCAATGAGAGTGATTGTAAACATAAAAAAGCCGAAAATATTGTTGAGGGCCAATAGTTAAACGTCACTTTTGCTTTAACTTGTGCATGGCGACTACCGTCGTGTGTGTGTGTGTGCCTTCAATTGCACTCATTCACTTTCTCTCTCTCTCTCACACACACACACACACACACGTACTGTAGGTATTTACCACACCTAAGTTAATGTCGGATCCGTTAAATTACATTACAGAACACAAAACATGAATTTCTGAACAGGTATTCCAGCAAGATTAGGCTTGAATTAAGCACTGATTGTAATTTAGCTCAATATTTATTTACAAAAAGAAACAATATATGTATTCTTCGAAAGATTTCTATAATAGTAAATGAGCAAACTAAATTACATAAAATTTTAAAATGACCAAAAAACTGGTTTTAATCAATAGGAACAACAAAGATTTGGAAAAATATGTATTTTAATATGTAATCAAATGACTCAAAATATGGCATGTAAAATAAATATTCATTTAATTTCTTCAGATATTATATTCCTCCTTTAAGGGAAAATAGTGAAATAAGGAAAATATTTTATTTATTTATTTATTTATTTTTAATCATGAAAAAAATGGTCAGACTTACTTGTATGGCTCAATCATCTCCTCTGTGACAAAATTCAGATAATTCCTTGTAAACAAAAAAAAAGAGGAAAAAAAGGAATTATAAAATAAAGCATTTCTAACAAATTCAACAGCTAACAAACAAAAAAATCAAGATGTAAAAGTGAAAACAAATTACAATAACAACAACAACAACTCTCTCCTGTTTCCCATCCCTGATAGTTAAACCTGGGTCAACCCGATCACTCGACGCAGAACTATAAACCAGGCTTAAGGCTCGACTCCCACTAGTACCAATATACAGCCACATCGCACAGCTACTCGTGTAATATTGCTCATATATATATATATATATATATATATATATATATACAAATGTGTGTGTGTGTGTGTGTGTGTGTGTGTGTGTGTGTGTGTGTGTGTGTGTGTGTGTGTGTGTGTGTGTTAAATGAATTTGTTATATCTTTTGATAACTTGGCCTGTTTGTGTGATTGGGGAGCAGGAAAGGCTGCTTGCCTTCTTTTAGTAGAGAGTCATCCTCACATGCTTTCGCTACATATCAACAACAATAATAATAATAATTATTATTATTATTATTATTATTATATTCAAAAAAATTGAGAAAAATTAAATTATTAAATTAGAGAGTGAGAAGAAATGATTTTGAATTGCATTAAAGTGTTCCCCAGAGATGGATTGCGGCTAGAAGGGCATCCGCTGCGTAAAAACTTGCTGGATAAGTTGGTGGCGTTGTGCCATCGTGGCGACCCCGGATTAATAATGGGACTAAGTCGACAAGAAAATGAATGAATGAGTGCATTAAAGTAGATGTATGAAATATTGTGTTTATAGTACTCCCTGCAGAATCAACCAAATATCCAAAGTATGAGTCACTCAGCTTATTTACATAAAAAAAACACTGTGGTGTTGTCAAAACCATTATTTGCTATGCAGAATGGAAATCTGGGCCATTGAGATTTTATTGTGGTCGGGGCTACATGGCATGATCAATTAAAGACATATAAAACAAAAACATCAATCACTGTCACACACAAAAAAAGAGACTTACATCGCATTACATTACCAATAAATTCTAATTCTTCACACTTTCTCTCAATTCTAAAGTAGATTTGCGAACTCACCATCCTCCGTAAGCAAACAGCCCACTGTAAAGAGCCAATCCGATGTTGCCAAAGTCTGTGTTGCTTCCTTTGAACGAATTTTCAGGGAGAAGCTCAACGGTATCACCTATAACACAACAAAACAAAACAGCGTGAAACATGAGACCACAATGCTGTTGTAAACTATATCAGGGACATTACGCAACACAAACATCCCAAAAAGTCATAACAGCCAGGGAGGGCTCAGATATTCCCACAATATTCTCCCATGAGAGGAACAAACAAGCTTGTATGGAAGAGTTCAAGGTGGAAGACTGCTTGGCGCTATCAAAAACAATGAGCCGATCATGCTGATCTTCTAAAGGCAAGTTGTGGGCAGTAGGTCGGCGTGCAAGGTCACAGAGAAAAACTGTAGAGAAAATGAAGGGTTTGCACATTCTTGAACACCCAAAAGCCTGTGCATTTCCCACTGGATCAACAGATGAACATAGTGTTGTTTCAGGCTGAGGCCCTGCTTTCTGTCTCTGCCGTGAGAAAACTGGGGGAGAACGAGCCTCTGTGTATATGTGTCTAATAAGGGCTTCCCTAAAAGATTTACGTCTTCACCTTTAATGGTACTGTAAGTACAGCAAATACTGTAGTTCAGCAAACAAGCATGGACAGGTGTGTAGAGTAGGTCAAAAAAACTAGTTGAACAGGTTTGAAGAAAAGTATGTGGAGTACAGTAGAATCTGAGATTAAATGATAATAAACGACTTACTACTAATTAAAAAGTTAATTCATTTGTAATTACGTACTCAACAGTCACTTTATTGGTACACTTGTTCAACATTGCAGCAACTCAAAGTATTAAGGCACATAGACATGGTCAAGACGATGTGTTGAAGATCAACCAAAGGGGTCATTTGCATGACGTTTGCAGCCAAAAAATAATTAAAAATATGGACATTTTTATGAGTTTTGTCTGTTTGTGTACATGACAACAGTGTTTCAAGAGTTCGCCCTTAGCTGATGATTGATTATGAAGCTAGTTTGGCATGCTGTCCCGGGAGAGAGCCCTGAACTCGTGAGATCCTCGAGCCCGGGGCTCCCTACCGTTGCATGTCGAGAGGGGAGTCCTAGTTCAGGTAGGTCTCGAGAACTCTCCTGCTTGATGATGTTGGAAGTAGATTGATGCTGTGAAGTGTCTATGCTGTCAATTTGCTTAAGTTACATGTTTTTGGTCTGTGGGAGGAAATCGGAGAGCCCGGTGAAAACCCACGCAAACATGAGGAGAACATGCAAACTCCACCAAAGCCGGTGACATTCTTGCTGTGCGACCGTGCTGCTAACCACTAGGCCTCCGTGCTGCCCTGACAAGGAAATGGGAGGAGTAGGGGTGGAAGGGGGGATTCTTCAAGACGAAGATGACTAAAGTAAGATACTCTGGTTATTTATAGTGGTTAAGGAGTCGTCTGATTGGTAAATCAGTGTTAGCTAATGTGGACCAGGTGCTATCAATCCTAAGCACGTGCTCCTCTCGAAATTAGTTTATAAATAAACTTCACTTTGTGACTGAAAATCTATAAATCTGCAAATGTGATATCACATGGTTTCAAAGTGGGTGTTTTTGAAAATGTCTTGTTCTTGTAAAATGTCTGAAAATGCACATATTTAGGGCCCTATCACACACCTGGCACAATATGGCGCAGAGCGCGTAGGACAATATTTGTTGCTATTTTCAGACCAGTGCAGGTGTCATTTTCATGCTTTGCGCCACGTTGTTTAAATAGTAAATCCATTTGCACTACTTTGTGGACTTATGCGCATGCTGGTCTGAAAAGGAGGTGTGTTAAGGCTCATTTTTGGCTCGTAACTGTTATGATGCAACTGATATAGACTCTTATTGACCAACTAAAAGCTGGTCTAAAGTTGATGTGGGAGAGTTTTTGTAATTTAAAGAGCACCTTAGTGATGCGCCTATGTGGGTCTAAGACATACTTACATATTGCTTAATACACAGGATGTGCAGCAATACACTAATATTTTTACTTATAAACAATAATAAAGGATTAAAATCTAAAAACACTATTTTCTACATAAATATAAATGCCTTCTTCACCTCAGGGGGCTTAAGAATCTGGCTCTGTTGTAGTCTGTTTATTCATGACAATTCGCATTTGTATAATGTTATAATTATCAGTAGTACTTTTTATTATATGCATATTTATATATTTTTTGATTTGTCCACCTGTCAGGTTTGGGAGGTGTACACATCACCATATAGGGCTTTAGACTTTGCACTTAGATTGTTAAAATAGAGTCTGTAGGTGTTTAGAAAGGGATAGACTAAAGGCAAGAGCAAAAAAATGACGGAGTGTGTAGTTTGTTGTTGTTTTGTTTTGTTCAAATGCTATCGCTTCCTCAGCAAAGTATGGAATTTCTTCACTTTACAACCAAAAGGGGAGATGCAAACACTGCAAATTCTACACACACACACAAGTGCCGAGCCACTGACTGCACATTAGGGGTGTTAAATTGAATTGTTTCTTCGGTGCACCACGATGCAGATGCAGACAATTCAGTATTGGTTCAGTAATAATCATAACCGGTTATTATACACTGACTTCATTTATCTCATTTGGGCTCTGTCGCGAGAAAGGTGAGCGCGTGTTTTTGCAACACTTCAGGTGCCATATACTTTAAACCTCAGAAACTGTGCACAATTTCACTGCGTATGTGTGTTTTCCGGACAGTCTTTCACTTACACTTACAGCAGAAGCACCTATTTCTCTGCGATTGAGGGAATGAAAGTGAACTACATTTTTCTCACTCTCTGTGGCCCATTCCACCTGTTGGCGTGACTTTTCCTCTCAGCTGCTGGCGTGACTTTTTCTCCCCTCTCTTTTCCTCTCGGCTGTTACAACGATCCTTCTGGATATAGGTCTGCATTCCCGCAGCTGTACCTGTGCATTGTCGTGGGACCCGACCAGATTTCATGCGGCGCGGGAATAAATTTCCGAATAAAGCAGTCGGTAAATCTGGTTTAAATTTAACAGGAGTGGGCGGTCTCACAATTTTGCTTCCGAGCGACCAAGCAAGCACGTGTGTGTGTGTGTGTGTGTTTACAGACAGCTTGTTAAAGCCAACCCTCAAAAAATAACACTGTGTATGGAAAGCATCGTCAATGCACCTTGATGCACGGAGATATCGAATTGAACTGAATCGATGGCATGAAAATTGTAACCAAACCGAACCGTGAGACCAGTATAGGTTCACACCTCTACTGCACATCGTCACTTCTCTACAGGAGCTGTTTATTAAAATGGTGAGGGAACCAAATATTGGCCTGGCACACATAATACAGCTTATTCGGTTGTAAACATGGATCATTTTGAAAACGTGTAATCAGAAATCTTTTTTAAAATTCAAAAGTATTTTTTTGGCTAAATTATTGTTGTGCATATGCCGACCTAAGCATTAAAATGGGGTAGAAAAAGAATTGTGACTTTAAAGGTGGCATAGTGTTTGATGCCAGATTTCATAAACTAGTGATCTAATGGGATTTTCATGCACAGCCATCTGTAGTGTCTTCAGAGTATGGTCAATATAGAGTAGGTTAAAATAAATAGTGATCATTAGCTGATTAGCTAAAAATGCCTTAATTCATACCAGAGGCAGACCAGACTGGTTCAAGAAGAAGGAAAGGCAATAATAACAAAACAAAGAAATGCTTTGCAAAGAAATGCTCAGCTCACCAAAATAGGACAATAAACATTGGCAACGGGTAGTCAGGTCTGGTTAGTCTTGATTTCTGTTGTTACATAAAGCTGGTAATTTGGTGCAAATAACATGAAAGCATTGATCCATCCTGCATTGTATTAACAGTTCAGGCTGCTGATGGTGTAATGCATATTTGTGGATGGTGGTTGGTTTCTTGGAAAACTTTTGAGGTCCTTGTTAACAATTAAGAATTGTTTAAAGGGAAAGTTCAGCCAAAACTGAAGATTCTGTCATTATTTACTCACCTTTTACTTGTTCCAATCTTCTTTTTTCTATTGCACACAAAATAAGACATTTTGAAGAAAGCTGAAAACCGGAGCCATTGACTTCCATAGTGTTTGTTCTTATCAACTATAGAAGTCAATTGTTACAGGTTTTTAGCTTTCTTCAAAATATCTTCTTTAGTGTTCAACACAAGAAAAAAGATTTAGAACATTGGTAGTCTTGAGTATATTAAACGTTTTAGATGAACTATCGCTTTAAATGGCACAGCCTACCTGAGTATAGGCATGGCCACACTGCACTTCTTGCCCATTGGCTTCCATTTATACTCATTCTTGTGAACGTGCCCGAATGGAAACGCAAGCTCATGTTGCAAGTTTCGCATGCTGCTGTGTTACAAAGTTAAAGTTTGGTGAACTCTGACCTGTGAATTCACATCATGTGAATGTGTGAGACTGATAGAAGATCAATACATGACCTGTACAGAAATTTAGAACATAAAGCAGTCGCTGATTTTATCAGTGTCTCAACACCTTGCCATATCTAGGCATGGGACGATAACCGCGATAACTGCTTTAGTCAAGGTTTTAAAACCGCAAAAATGTTATGTTATACCTTTAATATGGTTTATGTTTTTTTTATTTATTTTTTTTTTTACATGTTTTTAAAACTATTTAATTTAGTTATTTAGGGCAACAGTATTGAAAAGGACCCTCCGAAATATTTTAAATGTTTATTAAAATAAAATATATTGTGTTCAATAGTGAAAAAGTAGTTTAACCCAGATATTTAAAAGGAACTCATTATGGAGTAGTAATTACAATACGTATTTATTTAAGGTTATCTTACTGTCACAATCTTATACTGGCCCATGCTTGATCATATCCCACCCTTTTTTTCCCACAAAATCACAAGACATGCTTAAATTCTAGTTTGATTGCAGTTTATTACTGCAAACCATGACCATCCCTTTATCACCACAAGTGTATTATCTTAAGTCTGATTTATACTTTTGCGTCAAGTGCACATGTAAGGTCCGGTGCAGGACCATAAATGCACAACTACTTGCAAGGCAAGTGCAGTGAGTCACGGTGATCACTCGACGCAGAAGTATAAAGCAGCCTTTATGATGACTACTTCCAG